TCCCAATAATCGGAAAAGGTGCAAGTGCCTTCCATTTCGACTGGAGCCAATCGTTGTTCCATCCCAGTCAATTTAACCTACGGACTATTGACGAGATAACCTCTGCGTCAACAAGCTAAGTTTGTGACAAGTTTGATACCTTACCAATAGTAATTTCGAAGATCGCCTACAAAGTTGGTAACATGATACGCCTAAGCAAAAATATCCCACTTTTGTTTTTTGTCGATACCGTCAACGGCTGCTACGTCCTTCACTCCTTCATTAATCAAGCCATCACTCAAAACCGTGCGTTTCGGATTGGGGCTGGGCCGCAGCCGGTGTACCGTACCAATAGAGGTCCCGCAGCGAACCCTTGCATAGTTGGCAAATTGCCACGGACGGGCATGTGAATTTACCCAGACTTAAAGCTTCTATTACATTCAAGAAAAAGAGTTTGAACTTAGAATTCCAACTCAACCTCTTCCATCCCTCTTTGAGAACAACCGAATGAATACTCCATAAAGTGTCCGAACCTAAGAAAATAAATTTAATAACATTTTTTATGCTTACTGAGATACAATTACAAGAAAGAGAGAGAGGAAAAAACAATCTTTCCATTCAGCAGTAAAATTGTACAGTCATTTCAAGGAAAGGCCATTTGCTGTTACAGCACAGGAGAAAATGAGGTATTCTACAGGGCAGCAGATCTGAACGAGGTACGGCTATGGTGATCAGTACATAAAAGAAAATTTGAAGGATCTGAAATACCTAGAACCAAATCCCCTTCTAATTGCAAAGAAGGAGGGAAATGGAAAAGTCAAAAGCCAAAGAATGCGCCGGATCGTTAAGCACAATGATGATAAAAATGGATACTTTGAAACCTACAAGAGAACAACGCAAAAGAATTATTGTCAAATACCAGTATCGCGAAACAATGCAAGTATACTCCTAGCAAGAAGTCAATACTTCGAATAATAAGTAAAAAAATAATAAATAAACACATAAAATGAATATAAAATATAGATACTTTCTTCAATCACAGACTTAGATTACAGGAATCGCTCATTGACAGCTAGCATCGGTATCACCTTTTTGAAACAGTCTCCTTCCGGATATTTTTCTCACCTCCTTTATGAGTCCACGACGTCTCTGCTCGGACTCCGATGGAAATCCGACCTTAAAGTCGAAAAAATCTTGCACGAATGTGGTGATAAATAAATCGAACCAAAAACAACAATTTAAAAATTCTACATACATATAATTTCTAACTCTATCTTATGATCCTTTTGCCTAAGCCACAAGAACCCAAGAACCTGATCCACGAAGGACGACTTCATGGGCTTTTGGTTGGCATCCCCAGTGCGAAAAACTGCTTTGAGGGTTCAATTAAAACGTTTTAACAGTCGTCGATGAATTCAAAACGTCTTCAGACAATGGAGAATGCAGTCAGATAGCTCCACCTATGATTTAAGTGCCCTTTTTCTTCGTTTAATGTAGATTTTATGAAAATCATGAAGTGATTCCTTTACTTAATGTGTTAACAAAGCACTCACAACAATGGTGGGCAAATACTGTCAATAAAGTTCCGCATATACTCATACTCACCTCCCAATAGTTCTCTGGCGTACTAGGCATTTTTTGGGCGACAACTCGAACCCTGCTTATCTGAAATAAGAGCTTAAAAGTTTTCATTTGACCACTCACAAATCAATACTCAGTTTCTGACCTTTTTTAATATTACTAAAAATAAGTGTCTGACTATTACAATAAAATCACAAACAGAATGTGAATCGAATATCAAATTGGCAAATTATCCTCTTAAATGTAACCTCGTTTATTCGCCGTTCTTTCGAGTCAGGACTTAGTTCAAGGGCATCGAAGTATGCTTTAGATGCAGCACACGTCACTCCTTTCATTCGTGCGCGATCCGCTTTGTTCCGTATAACGGCACCTTCCACCAGGCGTTCCTTCGCTTCCTTCTGAAGGATAGGATTTCCATAAAATCCTCATTAAGGGGAATGCAATCTGAGGACAAATGAAATTACAGTAACGCTCCTGATACAGAGTTTTCTGAATCAATAAGTATAATGTGTTCCGACAATCTGTTACAAGGCGATGATCACTTACAAAGAGCGCCGAATTTCAACAATAAGCCGACAGCAGTGCTTTAAAGACTCACCTGCACCCGTTCTAGAGCTCCACCATGTACTATATTGAGAAAGTCTTTATCCCTCTGAACCAATTCAGTCATTATCTTGTTGCGCTCCTCGAATTTTTTGGAAATTTCGCCCAATTTAATATTCGTCCATGGATCCGACTTCACCTTCTTGAGCGAAAAAAAAGATTTAAAAAGATTAAATATTAAAAGCCTCAATGACAAAGCTACTAACCCTTTCTGGAGGGCCAATGCGCTTCACTTTTCCAGGAGAGAACTTCCTTGACAACGTACCATGTAATGGCGATTTTTCTTCTGTTGAACCATTGGAGCTTCTCTGAAAAATGTAAATTACTCGAAGAAACTACGAAAAAAAGGGCCTGCTGTAAACATTCGTATACAACTAAATGATATCCTTTGTAGCTAACTTAGTGGCCTCAACATAAGGAGTATGTCAAAACTGTACACAGTATCATTTAACTCGTTTACTACACTTAAAAAAAAGACAGAAAAAGAGAGAATTGCTCTTTAATATCTTCGGAGAAAGGTCAAAAGGTATAAAGGACCCTCAAAATAACAGATGGAAAATTATTCATGAAAAGCTCTTTGAACTGTTGAGAAGTCTTCCGAATTTTCCAATATTTGCGGCCCATGGAATAGATGGGAATATCAGGAAACTGTATATGAACGTGCAAGATACCACTGAATTTTACAGCCTTCATTTATCAATTTCTTCTCTTGTCAGGGAACTGCTGCTTCAACCTTTCTTCAGCCCCTTTTTTCTCAAGAGTAGGTAATCTTTAAACTCCAAACATGATAAAAAGCATGGCATTCCATGCCAAAACATAGGTAGAACCAGCCCACTCATTTTCTGTATCACTCTAGTTTTACTTATTTGGTTGATGTTTTGCTTTCTAAACAGCTAAAATGGTCTTGAAGGGAACTTGGTTTTCAAAGAGGTAAGAAGATTACTTGTCATAGAAATTTAACCCACTTTCCTACGCCAAATAACTGAAGGAGTGAGACTTTTTCGTGGAGAAACAATGACTGATGATGAACGCCGTATTTTTCCATTCAAGTTTCTTGGATCGATTCCATTTTTCAGCACCAACTCTGAAGTTCTAGACTTTCAGCATTTTATGCGTTTTATGAGCTCAGATTAACAGTAGAAAAGAAAAATATGAGATAACCAACTTGGACTTAAAGAAGATGGCTTCTTGCTGCGAGGTTCAATAATTAGAACATCTTCCGTTTGTTCAGGAGATGAAAATAAATCATCTGAATCGTCAGTACAGTTCCTGGACTTCTTCTCATCAATAGGCGATTCGAAAAGATCCTGTGATTCCTGCTCATCGGTGTCTGACAAGGTGATCACCTCAGGCTCCTGACGAGACGGCATGGCGAAGAAAGAACTCGAGTTCAGCTATACTTCAACCATTCTATAAAAACAAATTCTGAGAAAAAAATTCCAACGAACTTCCGAAACGACTTCTTACGGAAAGTTCTAGTTTAATGAAATATCATTCTTCTGAATATTGCCTTAATCATGCCAATATCTCTCGAATCGCCATAATTGAGCTATTAGTTGTACACTAGCTCAGCCAACAACGAATTCCCACTATACCCCAGAACTCTGTTCCCATGGTACCTTCTCAGACGCGAAAGGAGGCTGATTGCCTAATGAAATGCGGGAATATTTGCACTTCATTAGCCAATCAGCTTCCCTTCGCCTACGAATTCTAGCGTGAAAAATCGGCGGCCGTCGCAATTCACATTAACATTTCATCTTCCCATGAGCTTTTCATCAATTCTGAACAAGTACCAGGTGAGTGAGCCATGGCTCCAATCTTAGGATAGCATTTATTAACTATAGAGAGCTGGGAACGTGAAATTTCATGCAACCAATAGATACGAATTGATCCTATGAAGTCGTAGAGAGGGGAATGCGCCAAAATCAGTTTGACCAATCCATACCTACCTGACCTTATCAGCGGACAACGCGTCCCCAAGAATTTCGAGTAATCTTACCTTCGAGAACTTTCACTTTTCAGAATCTCCCGACTACACCCTATGCCTTAGCCGTTATAAAATAATGTAATACTCAGAATGAAACGTTCTACTGGGAACAGCATGCGCGACAGTTGTCGTGAAATAGTAGACATTGTCTGATAATTACACAAAGCTTTATTAACTTGACGTTTAGAAAAATTCTGGATGGACGCGGCAAATCGCGCGGCGGAATTGGTGGTGTTTCAAACGACTCTGAGGCCTAGTTTGGGGCATAGGTTTTGAGTGGTTTGGATAAGTTGGGCCGGCTGATGCTACTTATCTACCATAATTCAAATTTGTGCCCCAATGATGGGCGCCAGAGTCGTTCTAATCACCACGAGTTTCGCCGCGCAGTTTGCCGCGTCTATTCAGAATTGGGTGAATTCATAACATCAGCCATTTCTAAATTTCTTCTTTCCTTTCGCTTTTTCTTCATTTCTATCTTCAGTGCATTTCACTGTCTTTTTCACTGTCTCACGTCTTCAATGAATCTCTTCAATATGTATACGATATTCTCAAGGCTACTTATATAATGCACATCGGTAAGAACGTAGCTGTGAGGGCACTGGAGTGGGTAGGTGATCATCTCGTGCAAAAAGCTGAGATGGGGAGAGAATTGAGCATTCATTCGACCTCTGTTTAACTTCTTTTCGAAAGTATAAGCCGTAGCCTGTAAGCGTACGTGCGTGCTTACGCTTAGCCCCTCCCCTTACTCTCGCTCTTCAATGTGCGAACTCTCACCCGTCACATGTACGACGCGTGGGTGTTCGGTAAGCTAGGCGGTTACTGTAGGAGCCGTGTCCCCGTGCTTTACGCTACTGAATTCTCGTTTCTGTGCCTCGTAAGTACCAAATGGGGTCATACTCAAGTCGTTTATTTGCATAGTTAATTGCCAGTCGCACGAAGTCTCGAACGGCACTATTTGTACACCAGACGTACATCAAAGAAGTAACTGAGCAATTTAGAGTTTTCGAACATTGTCGGAAAATGGCCTGCTTTCCCCGCTCGTACATTGCTCGCGAAATATTTTGTATTTTCCCCAGCGAGGTGATTTTATTTAGTATTTTGGGGATGAATTTTTATGATCTAAGCCTTGTCTTTTATGCAATAGAACCCGCTTTTTTCTTTTCTAGTACCAGCCTCTCGCCCAACTTAGGTCTTAGTTTCTAAATTCGGTGTTCGGTGCTTTAAATGAAATTCGATAATCTCATGGTCACTTTTTCTACTTGTGAAAGCTTATTCCCCGCCTCTCTTCCCTCTTTTCTATGGCTGTCTTACGCCATGAGCTGCTTCTCTTTGTGTACGCCTAGCATAAATACCCAATTTATCGCAAAATCGATCTGACCCAGGGGATGCGGTCTTCATCATACGTAATCGAGTTTCAGTGCACCACGTTAGTATGAAGGGTACAGCTGTAAAGTGGCTATTCCCACATCTGCATTCGCGATACCATCTGTGTTCTCCATCTTATAGGAGTCGACATGCATTTTTAAAGATGTTATCTTTGAAGAAGTTCTGGGTGTTTTGAGTGTTTGACTTCATTTGCCGTGTTTCAGTGTTTTGAGAATTGACTTTGAACCAACAACAACGTAAAGACCTCTTGGCCGTCTCCCGCTCAGTCCTCGTGTGTGGCGGCTTTCACAAGTATCTAACTAAAAGACTGCGCATCATCATTTTATCCCCAAAACACAGCAGTCAATATTTCCCAGGAAGCCCAGTACAAAGTAGTAGGATCGTTCGTGATATCCGATCATATCTAGTCACTTTCCTATTTCTACTTATTGTGTATTCCTTTGTCCTGATGAGATTATTGAAAACTTTATTGACTTCGAGCTTTTTATTGTGATACAAACCTTTTAATAAAAAAAATGCGAAAGTGAGTGGTCCTCTGTTTTCCAATACTGTTTCGCATAATTTGCTACAAAATGTCGTGATTTTCCGTACAGAAGAATATGGGGTTTTTGCCCCAACGTGGTATTCTGTAAGGGTGCCAATTAGAGCTTTATATTTTCGAAAATCATATGAGGTTTTAAGTGTGGCCATCCTTGCGGCACAATTGAGCCAGTTGAATTAGGCAATCGACCTTCCTCTCCCAGAAGTTCAGTGCTTTCTGTTTTCTTTCGCATATTGTTATTTTCCGTTTTTCAAAATCATATTCGAAGCAGAGAAGTTAAAAAAAGCGAAAGCACTCGCAAAGAGAGAAAGCACTTCCTTGAAGGGAATCGCAACCCTACTGGCTGCTTTCAGACCTCAACGATTCATCCGTCCGTCCGTCCGTCCGTCCGTTCAGCGCGTGCCGCGACGGCGGCGCCTGACCGTTGTCGATACACTGAATCACTTGCCAGCGCTGTCAACACTACTCTAGCGACCGCCGTCGCAGCACGCGCTGAACGGACGGACGCACGGACGGACGGACGGTCGTCCAACTCTGAAAGTAGCCACTGATCGCTGCCTAATGCCGGAAGAAGTACATTGGTAAAGGCGTCCTTGCCGGTACCAGCTGAGGTCCCATGCAGGAGGGGCCTAATTTTAGTGCAGTAACTAAGATAAGACTTCTTGAACGATAGCCTGAGCGTTTCCACGTCTCGAGCCTCCTTTTCCGACGTGTTCATAACAACGAATCGTACCAGTTAATGCTAGCGGTTGGGCGAGATACTGTGGCTCCGTCACGTGTTTCATCCTTGCCGAAGCACCATCTTCATTGCTTCAGACCTGAGTAGGTAACTTTTTTTGTCCTGAGACGTTGCCCATGATGTTTTGCATCTTTTACTTCTTACTTCTTATCCCACCACAGATCACTGTAGGAACCCTGCTCACGTCTCCTGTTTTTTGTGATTGTAATGAAAGACCAGTTTGGAAATGTAATCAATACTTATTCGTGAATAGACTGGGGAGTTCCGATTCCATCTCAGAAGGGCTCCTCTGAAATCACTATTATATTGTTGTTTACTTAAGTGTGCCCAGTAATCTTCCTTATTTACATTTCCGTTTTCATTGTTTCAGTGTGCAGAACGGTGGTTAGTGGTGTGTTCCCATTCTTTGTTAGCAGCTGCCACACTTCGGGATCACACTAATTAGGTGCATTCATAGTGCGACTTCGATCGTTATTCTATGAGTCGGAAGTAGTGCACTCATGTTAGAGAACGCTAGACAGCCTGCAGGGGCATGCGTACGTTCGCCCGTTTGGAGACGGGCGTGGCGAGATTCGTGGCGATTTGTACGACTCTGGCGCCTGACATTGACAGGTCTGAAGCAGAGTAGATTAGTAGGGTTAGCTCCTAATCTATTCTACTCCAGATATGTGCCCCAAAGGAGGGCGTCAAAGTCATCCAAGTCGCCACGAATTTCGCCACGCTCTTTGCCGAGTGCACCTTTAAGCTGGCGCTGTTCTGTCTCCAAGCTTGCAGTTATGCATTTCCTTTGAAAACGCAAAAAAAATCATGTTCGAATCTCGTAAGGTATCGATCGATGAGCAACGCCGACGTCTGCGTCAGGACGCCAGTACTATGAATGCAACCATTCTCACGAGTACGCTTTTTCTTGACTAATCGTTCATATTCGATATCCAAAGATTTTCAATTCTTGGATTGATTAAAGTATGCGTTGTTTCAATTTTGCAATATCTCTATGATCAAATTCGATAAGCTACAGGTGCTCATGGCTTCGGAACATTTTTGTTTACTTGGTCATTTAGGTCAAGCCAAAATGCCCTCACTTCTTTTAAAGTTTTCAATCGTGAATCAAAATAATCGTAACATGAAACGCAGGGGGCGGTGTTCGAGGGGGTGTGAATTTTCCTTGGCTTCTTCCCTTCCATGGATGGTCCTTCCTCAGCGCTTTTGAGTGGCACAGCTCTAGCGAGTGAACGCAACAAAATGTACATGCCCGTCCGTGGCAATTTGCCAACTATTGCAAGGATTCGCTGTGGGACCTCTATTGGTACGATACCACGGCTGTGGCCCCGCCCTTAACCGAAACGCACAGTGTTAAGTAATAGTTCGATTAGGGTAAGGGTGAAAGAGGGTGGAACCAAGTTTGAAGGTTAAAGGTCAAAAAAAAAAAACAAAGATGGGGTCATTTGCTTAGATTGAGGTTCATTGCATGCGCATAAGCACATGGAGGTAGCAAGTACCAAATAATGGACTGCGTTAGAACAAGCTGAACAACACATGAAANACATCTAGTCGATAGACCACTCACCAAGTCGGCCGCATCGAAACATCTCAGTCCGTTGCAGCGTCTATTTCAACCTTTACAGGTGCTATACACATAACTCTTGCTCGAAAACATGCTTTTTTTGCTATAAGCGCCGGGCTTTCTTACTGCTGCTATCATCGTACATCATCAACACTTCATCTTTCACTCGCTCGTGAAAGATGTGGACAGCATAATAGGCGTCAAGTTTTCGCACTAGGCGAGAAATGGCCATTCCGTGCAAAGGTTCGTACACCCTTTTCCTAGGCAGGGTTTGCTAGAAAATTAAGAGCAAAGCGAGTAAAAGGTGCACGATTACTACAGGAACACCAGACAGCACTCAATTCAGGTTCAAAATTGCGAGCTTAGAACAAAACTGAGCCATAAAATAAATTAATGCTACGGATGCTCCTTCCACAGGAGTACTCGGGAGTACAAAGATTAAAATGTCATAGGATATGAAATATTATACCAATCAACCGAAAAACTACTTACGAGTTGCTGACAAATAATTTCGGTTTCCTTCTTAAATCACACCAGGATCGTGATGCAATATGCTCACGATAACTGGTGTAAGTCTAGAAAGAAAAACCTATATATTTGAAAACTAAACTGCTCTACAGCAACGACGTCAGCAATTTAAATAAATTGGTAGTTGGTTGCAGCAGTAGAATAAAATCAGAGCAATACTTGACGAATTCGGCAGCAGAAGTCAGAGGAATAAGCGCTCAGTCGAATAATGTAGTGAATAGCAGAGTTGCGGTCTACATGACCATCGGCGCCCCAGCTCTATTCTAGGGGTAGATTCATTCCCCGGCGAGCCAATGGGGTCGGGCTTCTCTGAGCTCTCGCTAAGGTAAGGTCGCAGAGACAAACATCACATGATCCTCGAGGGCTGTCGATTCTTCACCTGTTTATAGGAAAATACTTAGCTCCATTGCAACTATCTTGACACAGAACAAAGGCAAAAACCCCATTTGAACACTCGCGCCCTCGGCAAACATTTCCTCTCCCTCCCCTACCCCGGGCGTTATGCATACGGGCCTTTGTTGCGTTCCTAGCGAGTGGGCGTATTCATAGTGGGTTTTCACACATATAAAGCGTAAAAACGCAGTCGTCCGCGTTCTGACGTCTGCGTGCATGCACGTCCGTAAAAACGCATAAAGGAGCAGTATGAATCTCTATGAATGCGCCCAGGAAAATCGTAAAAAGACTTATTGAAGAACCATTTCACCCATTTGTTGGACTAGCGCCAGCAGCATGTGTAACACTTTTAATCAGGGTATTCGTCGTAGGACCTACAAGCGAAGCGGTGTTCAGTGTCGTTGAAAGCGTGCGTACTGCGTCGCTTTCTATTGCTGTTAATGCCATTTGTTATCGACCCGTTGCCGAGGCCGTCCTCTGTGTGCGGTGTCCATTCTCTTTCACTCCCTTAACTTTATCTATTAGTGGGTATAGTCCGTTGTTTCCTTGCAAAAATGCGAATATTTTCATGGTAATAGTAGTATAGCGACGTAAGTAATTGCTTGTAAGCTTTTTTGATGTCAGAAGAGTTGTCGTGTTTTCGTCGTTTTTACTTATCATGGTCTATACCTGGTATCACCTATAGTCCCATTCATGAATTCGGCTTGGCAATCGTATATCTCTCATATCTCAATAGCCAGATTTGATCATATGTTAATCGCCATTTACAAACTAAACATTCTGAAATGAGGCCGGTTACCCCTGAGGAAAAGTATTTGTCTCGCATCCTGCTTTGATAAGTTTCTTATGCGTCTGTTTCGAGTTTTTAGAGGGTACAACAGTCAGGACGTACCACTGCATTGCTCGGAGGTTAAGGAGTGAGGGTTGTAGTGTGGACCAAAGAGAGTGATCCAACAAGAAACGGAGACTCTCTTAGCTTAAGGCAGTAAGGAGTTGTTTGATATCGCGGATTCCTGCCAACTTTTACTGGGATAACGTTCGGGATGCGAATATTGACGGAGCGACTCGGATCATCTCGGGCTTCTCGATTCACCGCAATCCTTGTGAAATTGGTTACTTTCAGACCGAAAGTGCCATCGGAATGTCGCAGTTTGGTGCTGGAAAACCAGGAGGTTGGACACGTCCTGGAACAGGCGGTGAGAAAATTCCTTTGTGTTCCAAAATATTTGTACCCGGCCTGTTTAGCTGTCTGCTTTCAAGCCCTTGGCCTTGAATTGATTGCAAGATTGGATGCCAACAGTGTCTCTTGTGCTCTTCCACTTCTCTTTTTAATTTTTTTCGTATTTTGCCAGTCTCTCCGAACCTTCATAATTTAGGACAAGAGAAAATGTGATCACTTCAAGCGTGCTATTTGCTTTGTTGGCATCGCTCCCACATTTCTCGAATTCAATTCCTCGATGTGATTCCATAACGAAAACTGAATTACCAACACATCGCTGTCATTTGCATGTGATATTCAGCGCTTCTGAAAACATTGGAAGCACTAAATTTAATGTTCAGATGTGGCATGGTGTCAAGATGGTGTTTAAGTTTTTTTTTTTTGAGAGTATCTTCTATTTGAAGGTGCTATCCACCTCCGAAGCTCCTTCAAATTCACTTCATGGACTCGATTTAATGAGCGCTCCACTTTAATTTCCAACTTTGACGTAAATACCTTTATCGGGTGCTATGATGTGGAGTGGGTGAAGAAGTCTCGAAATGCAAGAGTTCAGTGATATATTTGAAGTGCTGATATTTCGGATCTGCTAGGAATTGTTGATTGCTTTTAGTGCGATTAACGATACGCTATTATTAAACTTTAGACCTGTAGGCATTATCGGAGTTCACTTTACTAACACCCACTCCCTAGCCTGTCACATCTTTCTCGGTAATAAGGAATATCAGCGGAAAATGCATCCACGAACCCAATGTAATCCATCTCCAATTGAACTATCCCTGTTCAAAACGCTTCATTTTCCCTTTGATCAAACATCGCCACGCGATTCTGATGTGAGCTAAAGGTACTCGTGGCAGGTTTGATGAGCGCTGTTAATTCCTGAGGTTGCCGGGAACCTCAAAGCATGTCTTCTAGGTTCATAATTTATAAGTAGGCGTAACGCTCACAGGGCATTCAGTCCTGTGAAATGCTTCCCATACTCCCGTGAACGGGAGGTCCAGATTTTCCGAAGCGGGCTGGAATGATTTTAATATCATTTCGTGTAAGTGTCCTCGAAAAACGCTCATGAAAATCCCTTCATCACGCCCCCTATACGAGGGGTTCACTGGTCGCTTTGCTAACTTTACATGTTCGTCTTGTATTTCGCCTACTGTAACTTTTACTTGTTGGCCTAATGCGTGCATTCATGAAGGAGAGACGGCAAGATTGCCGCATGAATGCCTGTAATTTCAACAAAGCAGTAATTGCTGGGTTCAGATCCCCGGAAAAAAAGTCACCTGTAATATGAATTATCTAAAAGATGGGGTTCGTTACGTGGAGAGATGGGGTTCGTTACGTGGAGGCAAAGTTTGCCGATTTCACGGTTCCAAATCTTAGCAGATAAGTCATTTGTGCAGCACTCATTTCTCGTGGTATTAGTCGGTCGGGGATTCGTACCTGGCGCGAAAGTAATAATTAGGGATGAGGTGATATGCTCACGTGCTAGTAATCGATAAGTAGTTTTCCTCAATCACTCAAGCGAGAGAGCGCACGCTAGCTTTCTGATTGCTGATTATCCTCTCATCTACTATATTCTCTAGTTACTGATGCGTTTCAGCAAAAATATTTGTTTTTCTTTGGAGTTGAAGTCGTTCGTTGTGGGAATGTAAACCATGTGTCTGTGTGTATATGTGTGTGTTAAAGTTAAATCTATTAATTTATGTATTAGCAAAATGCATCTGATCTGGACTTCGCACCTTGTTTCACTGGTCTGAAGGAATGCCCTATTTGTCCAGTCAAGAGGATAGTCACTTTCCATTTATGGTGAAGTGCGGCTCCTTGTGCTCTGTTTTCTTTACTCTCATCGTGGTTGGCCTTATTTTTGGCTCCAATACCGTACAACCTTCCGTGTCTCAGCCTGAAATGTCTCGTTGAAATATCGCTAGTTGGCAAGTTTCTGAACACGGAGATGCCACGTTGCATTGATCGAATTAGTTGTTTCGTTAATCCATGAGTTTGTCGACGTTTTTCTTCTCCCTACGTCCGTCCCACTTCCTGTTCATTGTTGTCAATGCAACGGCGTTCTTGAATTCGTGTTTCGTTCTACGTATTCAGGATTCGTAGATAATATTGTTCTGCATCAAATAATTCTATTTCATTTGATTTGTTTCAGTATCCTACTAACTATTGTTATAATCCGATTTCAGTTGGCGGAAACCAAATGCCAGGATTTGGAATGGGCGTTGGTGCATTCCCAATGATGGGAGTGCAAGGTATGGGCGTCCCAATGGGCATGGTCAATCAAGCTGCTTTTGCTCAGCAGAATGTAATGGGAATGGGAGTGATGGGTGCGGTCCCATCGTCTGCGTCCGTTCGAGCTTCTGCTGCTCAAGTATGTTATGCTGTTTAGATCTGTGGAGGTTTGAAAGTGCATTTTCCAAATTCGAAGATGGCTGTTTTCAGGCTGGCAGTGCATCCGTTGCGGGTAAGAACCAGCGCACGTTTGTTGGAGTCGTCACAAAAATGCACGACAATTATGGTTTTGTCGACGACGACGTCTTTTTTCAACATTCGTGCGTTCTTTTTTCTTCCGAAACTATTTTACCAATTTTTGCAAGATGATAACATGCTTCCTTACTTTTAGGGTGATCCGTGGTACGCTTCCTCGTGTTGGAGAGAAAGTGATGGTTGAGGCAAGCTACAATCCTCAAATGCCGTTCAAATGGAATGCATACCGCATTCAGCTTCTGAATTCCGGAGATGCTCCAGCTCAAAATCATAACCACGTTGCACAGACGCGTTCTGGAGCTTCTGGTGGCTCCAGCGGTGGAAGGTAATAGCGTTATTAGAAATTTCTAACATGAAAAGAATCGAAAAATATAAATAGCCATGCGGCGATCTCAACCTTATATTTTATAGAGATCAGAAGCTGCAGATTTAAGTTTTCGAGGCTTTGATTTCGCAGTATTAAGCGACCCTGTAGCAAAATAGCGTAAATTTTTATCGGAAGTTTGCTGCTGGATTTCCGAAAGTGACCGTTTGGCTGCTGGAGTCAGTTCAACAAAATATCCTTGTCTTTTCACTAATAACCATATAACAATATTATCTTTTCTTTCTGACAGAATTTGGCTGCCGTGCACGTTACAGTCATATGCTACGGAGCGAAAGAACTCCGACTCCTCTTTCCATCTTGATCGTTTCAATCATTTGGATGATACGAAGAACCGTCTTCCTTTACGAGCTTTTTTGTGATGACATTCTTTCGGTCACTTTCTGTCGAGTGGTTTTAATTTGTCAAACAACTGCGAACAACAACTCACTGGTGTCGTTAGGCGCAACTGAAAAATTATTTCCCCAGCACCAAGTGTTTCGTATTTTTGTTTGTTGTTGTACATATTTGACGAATCAGATTTCTAGTAAAATCATGCGGCACATAGTTGGGAAGGTCGTCTAAATCGTACTGAGGGGCTTTTGTTGGATAAGTTAGTCGTTCTTGTTGTATTTGAAAGCAAAAGTTGTTTAGATGGGGTCCACCAGCATCGGCCGAGCGTAACGGCCCATCACATCGTAGTTCACCGCCACGACGTCGATCACCGCCTCGTCGCAGTCCTCCTCGCAGAGTGCAAAGTCCTCCTCGTAAAGAGGCACCGCGTCGAAAGTGAGTGACATAATTGACGAATTAAAGCGATTGCGTCAAAAAACAACATGTTACTATATCTTCAGGTCACCACCTCCGAGGCGATCTCCTCCAGCTCGTCGACCATCTCCTCCATCTCGTAATGAACGTGATCGTAAACGCGAACGTAGTGCTAATCCACCAAGCTCTATACAATCAGCAAGAAGGGACAGTGTTAGTCCTCCTCGACGACGTGCTCGTATCATTCCTCGATATGAGTGCCATCCTCCTCGTTCTGTTCTGCTTAAGTATGCGAGCTACACCTTGCCTCACCTTTTTCTAGCATAGCACTTTGTATTTTGTTACAGTGAACAAGTGTCCGTGGTCGGCTTGCGTACCCGTTACAATAAGCTTTACATTCCATCCGATTTTGCGGATATGACTGCAGAGTGGGTAAAACGAGTACCAGTGGATGCTGCTATTGACCTCACCAAACCGGTACTGTGAAACCCATTATAGTTCTTTTATGCTGATCTTGGAATTGAGAGAGCGCCAGAAACGTGACCATCTTAGTACTTTGACAAAAGAAGTGCGAGGAATCTTTTTAAGGTTGCCTTCCATGTGTGGAATAAGGAAGTAGATTATCCACTCCAAGAGGGAGAAGAAGCGGCAGTGTTGGAGCCAGAGGACGCAGATCATCGTCATCAAGTCAAGGTAAGATGCTCAGTTCTTGAAGGATAACAAAAAAAANAAAAAAAACACCGCTCACGTGTTAGGTACTTTTGCTGGCACATCCGGGAAGGCAGGAAGTGCACAAAAAAGCATTTGGGCTCCTTCCTGACGGCTCCACTGACGATATGCACGAGCCCACACCATTTTTCAAGCAGCTTAGCTTCCTAGTTGGTGAGTTAGTTGTTGTGGTTTCACGAGTTTTTTCATTCCTCATTTTGAAGGATTCACTTTATTTCCTTCACAGGAACTCGAGGGAAAGAACCCATGGCTATCGGAGGCAGTTGGTCTCCATCAGCTGATGGTGCTGATCCTACGAATCCATCAACTATTATTCGTACTGCTATCCGTACAACTAAGGCACTTACTGGAGTTGATCTGTCCGAATGTCCGCAATGGTGGGTCTCTTTTTTTACGTCGAACGCGAAACGCCTCCAGTATACTCCGCCCCGTAGCGTTCTGTTCTGTTTGTTTGCTGCGCCATATGCGTTGCGACTACCGTATCACTAGTCTGACATGACTTGGGACGGTCGTTCATCTCTGTGTGTATTGGCAGTTCTTGGAGACGGTCGCAGGCGACGCATAGATGCTTCTTCTCTAGCCTCCTTGATCCGTTTTGGCGCTCATCAAGTTTCGGCTTTGAGCGTGTAGGTATATCTGTGGGCTCTCTGACTCGTTCTATTTCCTACACAGGTACGAGCTGGTGCACGTGCGTTATTACCGCGCCGATCGTGATCGCACGGATAGCGTGCGTCTTCTGTTCCCGGACACTCAACTGCTTCTTGCCGATGCTGACGACTCATCGGCCGATGAACGTTGGACGGCAGTACAGGCAGCGCTACGTGCGCAACTGGAGACGAAGTTGGCAGCCGTGGATGCGCCTCCACCAGAAGCGGATCAGTCGATGGCGGAGGACGCCGCCAAGGACAAGGAAAGTCGCGAGCGTACTATGCGCCAGGCACTCTTTCACTATAGATTACTGTTGTGCGTGTTTGTGTGTTTATCTGTTTGTCCTGTGGTTACGTCGTGTTTAATACCACCCCACGCTTTTTTCTTATGGAACTCAGCATTCCAGCGCCGAAAACTGATATAACACTGCGTGGTTTTGTTTAATTCAGTAGCAACGCTTTTCTAACAAATCTCAAAGTAAAGTAGTAATACCCCATTCATGTTTTTGTTTGACGTTAAGTATTAGTCTGCAGGTGAGGTCTGGTTTCCATCTCTCATTATTCCAAGTTGTAGGCAATTTTGAGAGTTGCAGAGTGAGTGTCAATCGTTTTGAAGGGTTTTAATCTGTTCTGGTTTAGGAAACCACAAGCACACCATCAAAAGAAGCGACAAAGGCTTCTGAAGAAACTCCAGGAAAGGATGGTGACGAAACTGGAGACGCTGAGGCCAAGGAAAGACCAACACATTGGAGCAAGTTGGACCCTAAAATGCTTAAGGTTAAACAGCTTCATTTAACATGGCTTCCCATACCTTAGATTTTTCAAATGTATTGTACTGTTGATATTTGAAGGTTCCTGAGTTGCGAGCTGAACTAGAAGCTCGCGGCCTCGAAACTAAAGGAGTGAAGTCGCTGCTTTGTAAGAGACTTCAGGAAGCTCTCGATCAAGAGAAAGAGAAGGAAGAAGGAGAAGGAGCCGCTCCCACTGGGGACATAGAAATGACGGATGTTGCAGGTGAAGACGAGGAGGCCGAGAAGAAAGAGGTACTGTCATCTCCACGTCTTGGTTGCCATTCAGAGTTGAAATTGAATGCCGTCTTCTTTTGTTGAAGGAAACTGAAGCTGAAAAGAAGGCTAACGAGAAGACTGAGGCGGAATTGAAAAAGGAGGCGGAAGAGCAGAAGAAGAAGGCAGAAAAGTTAGAAAAAGAGAAACAGGAACGCAAGAATGCACTTGAAAGGCACTATGCTATGCCCAAGGAGCGAAAGGTATGTTAGAAGCGTGGCTTCACAATTTCATCTGTTACAGAGACAATGTTCTACTGTGGTCGTGCGATTGAATAGTTCCGGTGATCTTAGAGCGAGAAATTGTAATTGAGATGTTGATCTGAGGCCTCATTCGATAGATTAACCAAGAATAGATGATTCCAGAGTCCGCCGGTGTGCCTTCCGAGCGCGCGTCCGACTGACGGCGGCGCTAGCCACTTGCTGACATCACTGGCGCGTGACCCATCGGCATTCAGTGCTGTTAACACATAGTCTGCAACACCATCGGCCAGGTGCGCGCTCGGACGCACGCTCGCATGTGCGAGCACTCGGAAGGCCCACCGGCGGACTTTGAAAGCAGCCAATGGGAATAAGTATTGCAAGAGGTGTTATGGCTTAGTTCCCTAATATCCTTTCTCCGTGATGAATATTCTAATGAAAGCGTCGATTCGTCCCAAATCAACAACTATTTTCGCGTCGCGTACTATCCTAACCCTTATGAAGCCTGTGATCCGGTAAAAATCCTGTCTGAGACTGCTATCCTTGTTTTTAGGTGTTGGTTTACCCTTCAAAGACAGCCAAAGGTGGAAAATTCGATTGTAGAGTAATGAGCATGCACGCCTTACTTGATTATAGACAGGATGACAACAAGGAAGCTCACTTCGAGGTAATTGTGGTTTTCATTTTTGTATAGACGGGAAGCTATCATAGCTGATATTCAAAAGTCTATTTCATGTAATTCATTTCATTGCTTGTCGATCAGTAAAAAAATTTTTTATATTGCAGGTGTCACTGTTCGTAGAGGCCTTCAAAGAGTTGCTTGAGCGACATGCAGCTTTCACTATATACTGCGCCATTGCTCGCGCTGCCGACAAAGAGAGTGAGCGAAAGAGGCGAGATGAAGCCAGAGAGAAGAAAGAGGAGGAGGTACTCGCATTTATATGCTTTAAAACTGTTCGATTTTTTGTTCCCCTTTCGGCGATGGCCAATTTCTTGACGAAACATTGAGTCTTTTCATTCCAGTGTTATCGAGTTATTTTCAGTCTGAGGAAGAAAAGAAAGAGGGTGAAGGAGAGGAAGAGAAGAAGGATGAAAAGAAAGAAGTGAAAAAGGAGAAATTGGACTTGAAGTCAATGGTGTCAAATCGTGCTCTTTTCGAGGCATTTGCAATGTTCGACGTGAATTTGTGCGGGTCAGCTCTATTCGCTGTGTTTTCGTTAATGCTTGCGCTTCTGTACGCTATTCATGACAGTGTAATAATATCTTTAGATACCTGAATGAGCGTGATCTGGAGGATATAATTTTTAACAGTGAGTTCGGAGTCACTAGGGCTCAGATGCAGAAACTGTCGCATAAGCTGATGTCGAGGGAGAAGATCAATTATCGGTACAGGAGCTGATATTACTCATTGAATTTCTCGGATTTGTTGAGAATAGCGTTTTCCTATATTTGTTTCTGTTTAGCCACTTGACTGACGTCTTGGTAGATTCTGATGGCGCTGTGCGATTCACGCCTGGAGAATGCGAGAACGCGCCAGAAATATCAACACTTCTTAAAGGTTCGTTTTCTTTGATGGATTTAGTCTTCGTTCTTGTTTTTGACTTTTTTCCGTTCAGGCTTTGGCTTGGAAGCATACAAGGGCTCGCTCGAACCGCAAACGAATGGTGATGTACAAGTGCGTAATCTACCTGTTTATATTACACTGCTAGCGGCGCCTATTATGCTTGCTCCGTTGTTAATGCGAATTGTCATCAGAGAACATTTTAGATGTCTGATTTCGAAGGGACAGTAGTTATCAATGGTAACGTTGTGAACGTTGCTCAGAAACTTGCATTGTTGAAGAAAAGCGAATATGAACGCGATCAGGCCAAAAGCTTAGTAGCCGAACAGACTGCCCTAATTGGTATGGTTTCTTACTGATGCACTTTACTGTAGTAGAGGTTTTTCTTTCAAACGCTTCCTTTTTAAGAACAATTGCGAGGCACAAAGCACGACCTCGAGAAGAAAATCCGGGACTTGGAAAAAGATCTTGAAAAGAATAAGAAACGGCTGGATGAGAGCAACAGTGCTTTGAAGGTAGCTGTCTTAATATAGATGATCTTCTGATTTGACTTATTGTTCAATTCCAGTCATCTTTGGATTCAAACATTTCCCTGAAGTCCGGTCTTTCGGATTGCAAGAGATATGCCGAACGCATTCTGTCAGCTGTTGAGCGAGCCTGTCCTCCTCCTCCCCCAAAGCGAGTCGAGGAACCTAAGGTAATACAGCTTTTATCCTCAACATATGCTCCATATTGCTATTTTGCGTGTTCCAGGTGGAAGAGCCAGTTGCTGAAGCTGTAGATGATGCCGATGAACCAATCCCTGCAGAAATTGTTCTGACCGAAGAAGTTGGAGCAGAGGAGGATAATGAAGAGAAGGCTACGTAGTCGGTTCATAGTTTCTAATTGTTAACTGATGGTCTCGTTTTTATTCCTATTGCTGCTCTCATTTTTGGTATCAAGTGTTGCTGTTAACTTGTTTTCTCTTGCTGTTTTTTTTTTGTACTCAAAGTATTCCAATTAGAAAATAAGAAGTTCTCAACCTTGTATTGTTGGTTACTTCTGACAATTCATCACAACACAGATTCGTAGTTATATATCGTTCGGAATTGTAGATTTAAAGCGCTTATCTCGGCTTTGACCCCATTTTAGCGCACAACTGCGCTGTGGTTCAAGAAGTGTTATTCAAAAGATAGTTATTGTTCCATTAAATGTTCATTCTCGATTTTTACTTGGCTGGTGAAAATGAACCATGGAAAACACGATAAGCAGACATTGAGAGGCATTGAACTGGCTCAGAACCGGTGGCTTTACTTGGCGGTACAGTGACGCTACGATAATGGTTTTTATGTGAAACCGCCATATTGGGCACAATATCAATGGGTGTACGGCGCAGTAAGGGAGACGTCCTTACAGGCAGGCCTGCTATGGAATCGGACACCACAATGTCAATTGGTAATAGCACTGGCACGACACAAAGTGTGAGTGTAAGTGATGCGCCAATGGAAGTGGTAATTGAAAACAAGCCGGCTGTGAGCAACACTACGCCATCAGGTACATTAAAAATACGAAAACATTAAAAATTCAAATATGCGTGGGATGCCCTGTGCATTGAATTTTCCTAGGGAATCGTGTTGGCGAAAATGTCGATTGCCATTGGTTGTGGAGTTTCGTAAGTGCCAGAGAATAAGGACCCAAAATAGTTTTGTATTTTTGAAAAACCTACGAAAGGCGCCTCGGTGGTGAGGGTTGGATGTACTTTGGGTGATTAGCCGTGCCAAGTCGTGCTAACGAACCAAACAATGGGGGTTTTGTATACAAAAAGTAATCCCAGACGCCGAAACAATTTGAAAAGACTCGAATCAAAGCGGGGCCCGTGCCAGTAGGGTCTTGGAGCAAGTAATTGATACACGTTAGTCCCCTGTCCCGTATTTTTGGCTCGGAATCTCCCAGGGAGATAGGTTTTCACCAGAAAAATGCCTTGTAATTGATTTAAACAGCCTATTCCTATTCTCATTGGTCAACGCGGTGATTCGAAAAGCCCTGATTTCCTTCACTAAATAGTGCCTGCAAAGCATGGGAGGAGAAGCCCGGTTTAAGTAACAGAAGCTTTACAGTACCCAACCCTCTGTCACCATTTCGTTTGGTTTTACCTGGCCGGCTATGAAGCTTAGTTGTAATAAAAGTGGTCTTGGGACTGGTCTAAGCTAAGCGTTCGCTTCATAAGCTGTACGTCTTCAGGGAAATTTCTTGGACAATGCGATCTTCAAATAGTGTATGTGGCTGCTCACATGTCACAATTAGATGAACATCTGAGGGTAAGCGGAACTCTTATCGCCGTTCATCGCTCCCAAAGGTCAGCCTAGACTGTTTACAGCGATGACCAAGGGTTGTTCAATCAGTGGTATTCGACGTATAACTCTCAATCTTGTTATTCATTACTGTTTTTCGAGAAATCTGGACATTTTCATGATAGGATCGGGCTTGGGCGTATGTCCAGTGTATGGATGTCATAGAGGTGGCCTGATATTTCATGCTTTCGGAAGCTTTTGAACCTTCATACAGCAATATCTAGCCATTCCTTATTTCTGGTAGCTGCTCATAAGATCACCAAAAGACAGGATCAACAGATACCCCAGGAATCAGAGGTTACAAAATCTTAACATACAGGATATCTTTTCATTGGTTTCACCTCTACGTAGGTAATGATCACTGCGAATGCGGACTATTGATGGTTAAGGATAGCCTCGAACTCGACATCGATTAACCTCAGAATGACCTCATGGATTGAAGACAACGGTAATCGGATCAAACGCAAACTAACGCTTGCAAACGGTGCCTAGCTCTCTAGACAACACATTCATTATATTCAGAAAGTGTTTTCAAGATTGATCAACTTGTCCAAACGATTCCTTTACAACATTTGCCTTCTACGGAATACGCCTGACCGTACTGGTATTTACCAGATGTCTCTTACTATTTTGCAAGTGACTATCTCGTAGTTTGAGCCGCTGACAGTGTAGAAAAATGGTATCAAGAGATTTGGCACGTATCATATCCTACTATCGTTTTGAAAAATTCTGGTCATTTCTAATTTTTTTCTTTTTTCCTTCTACACAGCTCTTATTCTATTTGTTTTTTTTTTGAAACGATATGCTACCATGCCTCAAAAAATCGTGAAATGATAGCATTGTAGGCATGTTTCGGTGTGGGGAATGCATCGGATGCTTTCAATCAGAAGATTGTGGCAAATGTGATGGGTGCAATTCATCATCGCTTTGTGTTAGAAGGAAATGTGTGCAGGAATCGGTTCTAGCTCAAAGGCAAAGTCAAGGTGGGTGCTCTCATTTGGGCTCGAAGTCCCATCGAATCGATCAAACTCAGGTCCTAAAGTGAGAGTGAGAAATAGAAGCAACTGGACAGTACTTTTTGGACTAACTGTATAAGAAGGGCTCCTTTTGGATAAGCATAAGGGCGAATTGCATTTCATAATTCTGAAATGAATGATTGACAACAAGCTGAAATGAGAGGATATGGTCTATACTGTTGGACGACCATATCATCTTGAAGCGAAGTTACATTATAAAACCAAAGTTTCAGTTTATGTCCAGCGAAAGGAACCAGCTCGTAAGGAAACGGCTGAGCCAGTTAAAAAGGAGACGAAGCCGGAAAGTGAGTCCACTGACCACCAATTAAGATTATTTTGGATGTAAGAATGAGGCTTGTGATGGATCCATCAAGCAAATGGAAGTCAAAAATGCTACAGATCATGATTATTGAAAAGAGGTTCGAAATAAAGCCGTTTATTAATGATACAAACTTCCAGCAGCGCCTACTGTTGTCAAACGAGGACCTGGCAGACCACGAAAGGACCCGGGACAGGCAAACGTGGGTATTTCGCGTTTGGTCTGAATTCAAACTTATTAAGTAAATATAATACTATGAAACTGGCGTGTCGCGATGAAAATGAAAACATTTGGGTCTATATCGATTAGGACCTTTAAATGTAGATCACTTCTGTCTGGCCAATAACTTAACTACGGTATGATAAAGATCACCGCGATCAATGCGATAAATAATACTGAATTCTGAATTCCCGTCAACACTTGAGTCATGTTTCGAGTCATACCGTTAGATGCTTGAGATTTTGAAAAACCCATGAAGTTTTCAGCTTATTGTGATTAGTTACCAGTTTTCTTTACAGGCCAAAGCTAATGCGCATTCCGCCGCAGCCAGTGCTGGGGATATGACTGAACGAGGTGAGTGGGATCTTTTCATGCTTCCCACTAGTCAGTATTTTATTGGCCGTCAAAATGATCAGTCTATCTTTTACAATTTTTCCTTCAAGCGGAAAATCTTTCTCAAGAAACAATTTTAGAAAAAGCCCCCCCCCCTGTGCTATTTCTACGTGGAATCCTTTTCTCTTTAATATTCACGATTCTCATCATGGTTATATTATGAAATAATTTAGTATACCCTCGTCGAACAACGGCTCGCACTCAAGCGCGAAGAAAACATGATGTTCCCGCAAAGGTATGTAGTTGAACTACTAGTCCATTGCTAAGCGATACACGGGTTTTGAGCTGGCGGATTCTTGTTGAATGGCAAGCAACCTCCACCTTCACCTTGTGAGATTAAGGTTTAAGTTTGATTATTTTTTAGCCTGGGCCTCGTCAGTGCATTGAGCCGGATTGTGTCAAAGTGGCAAGGGATGGCAGCAAGTACTGCAGCGACGAGTGCGGGATCAAGTTGGCAAAGGTCAGAACGATTTAAGAACTTTTGTTTTTAGACAGATGCCATGACGCTTTGTGAAGATATATCGAACTCAAATGCTTTTGGGGTTCGTTGAAAATCTTTTTATTTTTTTTATCTATTTATTTATTTTTGGATGAAACCCATAGACTTGTAAAAGCATCGATGTGCTTTGTGGGCACATCTATGAGAAGTACTCTCACTCTGAGTTTTTTGATATTTTTCAGTTGGACGGTTGAGTAAAGTCGGATGCGGGGCACAGTTCTCAGACGAGATTGATTAATGCTCAAGGACTTAATCCTTCATTCTTTAACCTGTAATCGCTGTTTGTGCCATGGTAGTTTGCAGCCTTTGATTACATAGTTTGTTGCTACTTTCAGTTACGACTTCTCACGATTCTCCCCAAAAAGGTTGAAGAGTATTACCGAATACCACCACAGTGTGAGGTGGGCAGTGATACCTTCAGTGTTCTCTTTCTTTAAAAGTGCTCCACACCTCATATGAAAATTTTACTGCAATTTTAGCTGCAAGCCCTTGAGGAGTTGCGTACCATTGATCAGAAGATAGGCAAAATTCAAGTGCAAACAGAAACGATGCTCGGTTATGTCAGAGCTATTCAGAGATACGTGACGGTGAGATCATAACTGCATGTTCGTTTGTCTGAGTAAATGTTATTGTCCGTTTTTAGGCAATGAAATCAACAACATCAGTTAGTTACGATGAACCGTCTGAGGTCGATTTTGTAAGTTTCCTCCAATGAAATTCCTTTCATCATTTGTCAAGTCATCCTTCACCAATATTACTGATCTGTTTCTCTTGTTAAGGTGGCAAACTGTACCGTGTGCGGTATGGAGACGAATGGACGTCAGTTACCCAAGCATGTAGAACGATGTTTTGTACGCTCAGAGAAACAAACATCTTTCGGAACTGCCACTCCTGTAAGCATTTTCCGAGATATTACCTTCCATCGCTATCATTCCTAAATTTGAGTAAATATGTACGCTTACGTGTACGAGAACAGCTAGAAATTCGTAAGTTGTCTTGCTTCAGCTGAAGAGAGTAGCAGTGTTTCGAGGTGGTTGGGTACAAATTTGATTACAGTATTCCGACTGGCAGCCCAGTATCGGTCGATGTTGCTTTGCAATGCAGTTCGATATCGATGGGTTCTGCATGTAATCTAACATCCGTGACATCACTTCTCGACCATAGAGTCTGAACTGAACTAGTTGTGATAGAGCGTAAAATTCGGCTGAGCGGTACCGACCAATATACGACAATTGTTATCGATAGGGTGAGGACGGTTTGAGGGTAACACCTTTGAGCGAATGTAATCATAAAACCCACGTTCCAGTAACTGATCTGGGTATACCGGCCCGAAATATACTTTTTGCAGTCGCATTCGTAGTATCGTGAATAATCAAAATAAGCTTCATACGCAAAAGCTACTTGATCATAAGAGTTCATCAGCTTTTTGCCGTCAATGTTTGGCATAGCTTTTATGTCCCATTCAGGCTTCATTCAATCCTGACAATCTGTTTTGTGAGGCTTATAACAAACTGAACAATACATATTGTAAACGAGTGCGAGTGATTTGTGCTGAACACTACAAAGGGGAACTTGAAAATGAATTGCAGGTGAGGTTATTTCAGTAGCTTTGTCATTGTTACCTTTTGAGCCTTGCAACGAGCGCATACCAATTCGTTTCCAGGTGTGTGCCTATCCCAAAGCGTGGTCAGAGGGCAAATCATTAACGTTTGCCGAAATGTTCGAGCATGGAGCGGATCTCCTCAAAGATCAAGGATTTTGCTGTGCCCCTCGTAAAGAATGTACTCAGCATCATCGATGGGTGCAAGTGTGTTTTCGTTGTTTTCCTAGAGATTACATTCGAATTTACTTATTCTCTCCAGGTCCTCGTTGGTACGATAGAATGTGAACGCATGAACCTCTTGACCCGATTGGATGAACTACTTGAGAGGCGAAAGGTTGTGTCTGTTGGCATGTCTACTCGTGGAGACGTTATCTCATTGCTGAACTTTGAAGTAAGCTGTTCACTGATTCTATATATTGTAGTGGATTTTAGCCACGTATAATGACCCTCATACATAGATCGGAGGTGTCCAGCGATTGCTTTTGGTACTTAGCTCTTTATTATAAGGAATCGATTTAGTGCCTGAGATCGCTCCGTTTTATTGGCACTCGAAGCCTTGCTGCTTGCTTTCTAGCATCCCAATCCTCTGCTTTCCAATACTAGCACTTGTTTGAAGGCAAAAAAAAGAGTAGCAGCTGTTGTATTGACACCTAACCGAAATGTACATCGTATGCATACATTTTATGGTGTCTATTTTTCAAATTAAGAATTTGCTTTGGAAGTTACTCTTTGGAAGGTAAGTTTAGTTAGTTTTTTAGCCGCCAGTGATCGAGCCGAATCGCTGTAGCAAATGAGATCGTTCAGTTTCTCTGTGTCTCCAAGCTCCAGCTGTTATCTCAGTCTCGTCCGTCATGGCAGTCGTGGTACACGTGGTGCAATGACGAGCCATTATTTATTGCATTTATGGCTGTTATCATGAAGTTGAAGCTTTTGGTTACTAGATACAATTCCGTTTGCAAAGACTGTATATTATTATAAAATAAACTATATTTATAACGACAATGTTTAATGATCTCTTTGGCATTTCCATAGTCCACTAAATATCGAGTATATATCCGAACATATGTCTTCGATCGAATGGGCAGTTCACAGTGTTATCGTTGGATTGTTGTTTTTGCTAAAACGGAGCCTATCGATTGCAATTGATATGCAAGTATAATAGAAACTACCACTGGTTTTGACAGCTGTGGTTCTACCACTGAAAATTGTACATCCTCATTATTTGAGCTACTGAGTAAATATCGTGCATCATTCGCCTAGTAAGTAGCCATCCATTTGGTGGTGATGGTAGCGCAATAGGTGGAGGCGCAGCACTACATTAGATTGTACATTTTGACAGAAGACCTGGTAAGGGTAAGGGTGAACGGGTAGAGGTTTGGTAATGATTATAATTTTTGGAAATCTGTCATTCTCTATTTTCCGAAACGCATGTCCAAGAAGGGCACCTTGACTGTTTTTGGGTGTCCAACATTGCCGACCCACACCCTTCAGGTCATCGCCAGCTCTCGGGCGTTGCTCGTTAACAGGCTTGCTTCTGGTTGGACGAATGATGGATACTGTACTGATATTGGATGGAGAACCACATAATGGCTCTTAATGACGTTTTGCCCTTAATGTGCTTGTAGGGAATGTAATTTTTTAAAACGTCCTTCTCATTGAGGTATCATTAGACCATCTGAGGCCTTTGTGCTCTTTGTGATTGATAACCAGACTTTTATAGAAGATGTTTGTTGCTTTCCATGAATTTCTATGAATTTGATAAGATTTCTTTACAGATTTTAGACTGGTAGGTAGAAAGTAGGAATGCCCAAGACTGTACTAGTATTCGACGTTGATGGAACGCTGACCCCGGCCAGACAAGTTAGTGTTTCCATTACTATGCATTGGTTTTAAAGTTTTTTTTTCGAGTGGTGGCCGGAGATAATGAATGATTTTGCGATCCAAACGTTGCTGAGAAGGGAGGATTTCCAGAAGATGCGTGATGACATCGGTCAGTTTATGGCAAACGTACGAAAACGCATTCCTGTAGCGGTGGTCGGAGGATCGGATCTTGCGAAGATCGTTGAACAACTGGCCGATAATCAAGAAGACTGTAGGTTTGGCTAAGGCAAGCAGCTCGCGATAGTTTGTTATGAACTAAATAAAAGAAATTCGCATTGATTCCTTTTGGTTTGACCTGCATTGGGTGAAATGTATCTTCAGTTAAGAAGAAAGTCCTATTATGGCTCATTTCAAACTTTTTCGTTTTTTTCTATTAGCTTGATAGTACCTACATCCCATTTTGAGTGAGCATCAAACCTACCTGTGGGAATTATTTGAGCTCTATGTAAAACGGGAAATGATAAAACCTCGAGGCGAAGGTAATTTTAACTTCTCAGTACTGTCTCGATTCGATTACGTATTTTCTGAGAACGGACTTGTTGGATTCAAAGGAAAGGAAATGTATCCATCCAGAGTGAGTCTTTAGTAGAATGTTTGATATCTCCAACTCTTTAACATTTTGAAACGTTCATTCAAGAGTATACAAGATCAGATTGGAGAGGAGAGATTACAAAAACTGATCAATTTTGTGCTACGTTACTTTTCCGAGATTACTCTACCGGTGAAGCGTGGTAATTTCGTCGAGTTTAGAAAGGTAAGTCTTGAACTAACTTGAAGCCATGTTCCATTTTAGCAGGATGTTGGTAATGGAGAAAATCTGTCCAGAGCGGGGCTGTCGGAGAACACGTTCCTGACAGATTTAGGCTTCTACGACATTGCTCGGCAACTTGCCATCTGCATAACGTTACGCTTCACCTAATTGAGCACTTGAGGGCCTTTTAGTATTCTCAAAGAAGGCTTAATCGAAGATGCATTTTCGTTTAACGTCAAATATAAGTTACATGCTCATTTTTTGTGTATTTAGAATCGTAGGAAACGGGTCCCACCTTTCCTCAGGTAATTTTTTGGACTATTTGAAGGTAAACGGTTCGTGGCATAGGGGAGATGGGACAGTGTTGATGGTTTTGGAAAAGAAACGTTTCTGAGGTTAATCAAAATGAGGTCAATAAGATCAAAATGAAACTTGATACAATAGTTTACTTGAGAAAATTAGTCTTCGGTTTAGCAGGTGATCTTCTAACAGATGCACTAATTGAAGAAATAGCATTATATTCAAACCCTCTATAATAAAAGCCAAAACCGCGTTACAGCGTTTTCTATACCTCTAAAAGCAAATTGTGTTCTTCATCATTTCAGGGTATGCTCAATTTCTCACCAATTGGTCGGAGTTGTTCGCAAGCAGAACGTGATAACTTTGTGGTATACGATAAGGAGCACAAAATTCGAGAAAAGTTTGTCAAGGAGTTAGAAGAAAGGTTCTCGGAGTATGGACTTCGCTTTGCTATAGGTAACCTGGTTGCTTCGTCTTCAAAGAGTAATTAAACAGTGGGAATCCTTTGGTCTGCTTCTACTACATTTCGATTCAGGTGGACAAATCAGTGTTGATGCGTATCCTGTTGGTTGGGATAAGACCTATTGTCTTCAATTCCTCGAAAAAGATTTCGATACCATACATTTCTTCGGAGATAAAACAATGCCGGTTAGTAACTACCAACGCAATTTTATAGGACTTTCTCCAAGTGGGACCAAAAAGAATTGCGGAAACTTCTTTATTGAACCGTGGTGTAAGTTAGGGAAACGCGCTCTCGTTCTTTAACGAAGAGATTTTCCAGAAACGGAGGAAGTATCAACGAATCAGAGTTAGGCCTGATTGGAAATTCTGTTCCTAAACGGATAACTCCTTAAATTCCTCAACTGGTCCCAGTTTTTACCCATAGCTTCCGCTCTCGTATTTTTGTGATCAGCAGCTGTTCGTACCTCATGTGCTACCGGATGTGAGCTGTTGACCAGGCCTTTATAACTTCCAGTACACAGTGAAGGGTCCTGCCTGTTGAGATTTCTCGAGTCTTTGATTCTGTAAGGTACTGATCTCGAAGGGTTTGTACCTGAGTATGGATACTGGTGTCCATCCAGCTTACTCTTAGACCGAAAACTCGTTCAGAAGGCTTTCCTGAGAGCTAGTTGGATAAGCACATGCGGTATCCCAATCCTATGCTTAGTGCTGGCCTTTTGCTTGAATTCATTCTAGTTTTCTGAATTTATGAGCACATCTATTAATTACAGGGAGGCAATGATCACGCTATCTTCATGGACCCACGCACAATTGGGCATACCGTCGTAGATCCGGCTGATACGAAGATTCAAGTTGAACAGCTATTGAAGGAATTGGGAGTCTAATAGCAAGTTACCCTCATTGAACTCCTCTTTTTTACGGATAACTTTGATTACTATTACTCTCAAATTATTGCAAGTCTTTTTGGGCCTTATCTGTCTAATGCTTTATATAACTTTCTTCATTAATTTATTTTAATCTAATTTATTGAACGCTTGTTTGACCGAATTACTGTGGTTGATTATTAACAGTATAGTATTCGGAAGCACAACATTGTTATTTCTCATTCTCATATCTGTGATACTTGTCATTAAATGTCATTAACAAATAAACTTACATTTACATACATATGCGTTATACGTTGTCAAGCGATATTGTGATGGCCGTTGGACGAGAGCGGTTACTGACTGGGCCCCTCGGGACGTCAAATGAAAACCAGGTGGTTTGCCAGCGCGATGGTTAAACTTCTTCACGAAAGCTCTGAACGAGAGAAATGCTACGTCTCGGGTCCCTCGAGCGAGGACGATCCACTGGACCACTCCGGCTCACGATAGGGACGAATTGGGAGGTTACTAGCTCCCGCTCGTGGAAATCGGTGACCTTCTCGGGCAAAAAGTGATGTGTGTCATATTTTTTCGCTTGAATACAGCTCGGAACCATTGTTTCACAGAATACCGAGGTAATATACTGGGCAAAAGCCGGAGAACTCAGGAAACCTTTGGGATTTTTTTGTTAGCAGTCGGAGAGCGGAATAAATGGTACTTGCTCTATATCGGATTTACTCGTAGAAGGACAATTACTTTTCAGCCAGCTGTTTAGGGACATAGTTTCATGATCCGACGTCCCGAGGGATTAGGCTTCAATTCTGTAATTTAGAATTTTCAGTGAGTAGTCCCTGCTTTTCATGCACTTGGCGACTACAGAAGTATACGAGTAAGATCTGTATCGTATCATGTACTGATGAGTTGTCAATAAAGCATGATAACTTGCAGTTAAGTTCATTTTCGGAACAGAAGCACAATGAAAAGTAACATGAAGAAATTGGGAGCAAAACTAAAACCGGAGTTTTGTGAGTTCTTCGCTGTTCTGTACTTGAGTTAGCATATAGCATAGCATATGGTTGTGTGTTCGCTGTTTACTGTTGCCATGTTGAGATAAACAAATTCGTTATATTCAATTCTCTCACAAGCATATGAAATGTTTAGCAAATGAGCAACTATTGTACACGGATAGTCCAGGAATCAATTCGATATCCCTCTGACTAAAGGAGACTCCACAGTCCTCTTGGGTCAGTTGATTTGTTCCATAGTCGTCTGGGAGGATAAAAACATCGTTTCTTATATCGTCTGGCACCACATGCCATTGTACAAGCCAAATTCGCATTCAATACCCACTACGATTCTGAAAGTCGGATGTGTGGGCGCATCCATCTGACGGAGTTGAACGCCCAAAGACTTTATATTTTCCCTTCTCGAATCGAATCAGATAATCCATTACCACTGACTGGGCTCTTACGGAATTTGAATAGTCGATACGATACGAAGACGTTTAGCGGCATTAGTCCTACTAGGCACAAGGGCTGGGAGTGTTAATTCAGGAAGAATCGCCCGGACAAGCTCCCCAAGTATTCGCATCCGTTTGCCTGCAGTACTGATCGTCTCCGAATTATTCCATGATAACATTGGATTAAATAAGAAGTTCTAAAGCGAAACTTTCGACAATTCATCCATTGTTTAACCTTCCCAAGCTGGGGCCGCTAACTTAAACCTGTTTTGTGCAATATTACGTGGACAAGTCNTATTGGATTAAATAAGAAGTTCTAAAGCGAAGTTTTCGACAATTCACCCATTGTTTAACCTTCCCAAGCTGGGGCCGCTAACTTAAACCTGTTTTGTGCAATATTACGTGGACAAGTCGTGTGCACTGCGAGCGATGGTCCCGCAGCGAACAGAGACTGCCGGCTTTTAGCCAGAGACCGAGAATCGATCTTGGAACTTTAGTTGGCCTGCAATTGATTGTTTCACAGTGTTGTGATTCTTTTTTGATGATTTTACCCATCTTCGTAGTACATGTCGGTGAAATTCCGTTCATCGCTGCACAGTGCTGCCAGATTCAGTGCCGTCATTGTCCTTCCACGTCATCACTGCTGATCGCTTTCCGTGGCTGAAGTCAAATGTGGTTCTTAACGGATTTTGCTTCAAGTTGGATTCTGTAGGATGCTTTTAGGTTCTTTACAATATTAATGGGGAATTCGTTGATGTGTTTTCTCTAGCAGCCCATCACAAGCACTTGTGCGCCTTTGTTCATGTCATCATTTCGATCGTAGTTGTACTTTGCTAAGCATTCTCTAAGGTTGTTGTAATACAAAGTATTTGATAACTTTAAGTTACTCTTTGATGTCACTAGTCCACGCAGGTCTACGAAAAGGTGGGGAGGGGGAGAGACAAGTTCGTGGTAAGGGAAATTACGGTTGACAAAGGGGTAATGGCTTGTTACCGTGGGACACCTGTTGAATACTGGATCTTTGGGGTATAAGTGAGGGAGGCAACAAAATTACTTCGTGATTTGTTGGGGTGTATGAATGGGGCTGCGCTATCTCTAAAACAATCAGCAAGGAAAGCTTCTTGAGAGGGTTATGTGTGGTCGAGCACCCACGTATTTTTAGAAGAAGTCTAAATATTAGAAATGCGTGCAGTCGCGTTGCGTTTACAACTACATGTACATGTTACGTAACCATGCATGAGTCATTTTTGTGAGCTGTGGATTAGTCATTTGTATTCATATCCACCAGATCGGCTCCCATGACAGACGTGTTGTTAATTTGCCTTCGAACCTTGATCGCATTTGTTTTTCTCTCATTTCTTCCAGTAATCGCATTAACTCTGCAGTTCTAAACAGTTTAAATTTGTCATGATCTAATTTTCAGCAGATATGTCGTACGATCTGAAAATGGCCGAATCTCCGGCCTACGCCCCATTCTTTGGTTACATGGGAGCTGCTTCGGCACAGATCTTCACCGTACTTGGAGCTGCATACGGTACTGCTAAATCCGCTGTCGGTATCTGCTCGATGGGTGTTATGCGACCGGAGCTCATCATGAAATCTGTGATCCCTGTTATTATGGCTGGTATCATCGGTATCTATGGACTTGTGGTGGCTATGGTTCTGAAAGGCAAAGTGACACCAGCCAGTGAAGGCTACAATCTAAACAAAGGTTTTGCCCATCTTGCTGCTGGGCTCACTTGCGGTCTTTGCGGTCTGGGAGCCGGATATGCGATTGGAATCGTCGGTGATGCTGGTGTACGTGGTACTGCTCAACAGCCTCGCCTATTCGTCGGAATGATTCTGATCCTGATTTTCTCTGAAGTACTTGGACTCTACGGGATGATCGTCGCTCTCATTCTTGGAACATCATAAATTATACTTTATTTCAGATCTGATGATTCGTCATTTTTTAATTCGTTCTAAAATGTGAAATCCATCAGCTCTGTAAAAAACTGCCTCAGTAAACCTAACAAGTGTACATAGCATTCCGATTTTGGGTTTAATATGTATTCGTGTTGGGATTGCGAAGGTTGTTTGTCCTTTTCTTGTGCTAAAATAATGGCCAGTATATATCAAAATTGTATCCTTTACATGCTATTTTTTTATCTGTGATCGTTATTCCCCGTAGAGTAACTCATATGCCCATTTTCTATCATACTGAGCTAGCCTACTTATTGGGAAATAGTAGTCGATACATTTCCATGTGTATAGTAGCATAGGTTCACACTTTGTATGTTCAGCGATGATAGTATACACTTTTCGGTTCGGCATCCTCAATCATTCCCCTCTATACATGTGTGTATGTGTGATTTATGTGTACGACGATTCGCTGTGTGTTACATCCTCGTTATGAGGACGTCGTGCTAGTTTTGTTGTGTTAGTGATTATGAATAAATAAAAATAAAAAAATTTAGGCATGTCGGTCTCGTCCGGTGAATATTGGCTGATTTCGGCACCCGGCGAGAAGGGACCCAATGATGCCTGGGATAAACTGAACCGTGCCACCTCGAATCTCTCGAACAATTCGAAATTCAACATCCCAGATCTTAAGGTAGGGCCATTAAACTAATTCATAAAATCTTCCAAAATAAGTCCCATATCAGTGGACGGGGTTGAGTACAGACAAGTGTTTTCCGCCATTACCACTCATGACCTGATGTGTGGTCTTCTGTATGGGAGGGAAATAGCCAACAAGCCAGTCAGTCATAGACGGTCGTCATCTTTGAAAACGGTCTTTGCAAGCAGTTTAGCTAGTGATGTGGGGTATTATTGCAGTGAACCGTCCTATGCAAGGACCTTTTTAGTGCGGGGTTACAGTACAATATCGTTCCATTCTACAAAGTACATTTTTCACGAGAGATTATGCGATAATCGAAGAATATATTGTCCAAATATTCCCGTTCCACCACTTTTGCCACCGACCACCTGTGTTCCGGGTCATCCAATCCTTCTACAAACGTGATTTCAGTCGAAAGCTGTGTTCTACCTAACATGCCATGTCCTATGTCTTACAGCCCACAAAAATTGTTTAGCCTAGGCGTGTTGTGCTGGTATGTCTTAGTATATTAGATTCTTTTTAGGTGGGTACACTCGATCAGCTCGTTGGGCTCTCCGATGATCTCAGCAAACTAGATTCGACAGCTGAAGCGTAAGTTTTCCCATTTATGTTTGACTTTTTGAGGAGAATTCCGGGAAGAAAATGCGGTGTACCATTGGTATTGAGTTGGCAATAGGAATTCGACTTGGTTATGGCCTAAAGCATAGTCTCAACGCTACCGTTTCTGATTTTCAGAGTCACTCGTAAATTGGTCCAGTACTTTGGAGAAGTTCTGGAAGATGACAGAGGCAAATTGGCAGAGAATCTTCAGATTAACAACAGTGAGTCAGTTCTTCCAATTCGAGGTTCATTTTCTTCAATCAAAGGGAGGAATCGTTGTGGCCCTGCCTGAAATCCGTTCCTTGATATCTTTCCTTTTTATGTTATTGTTTAGAGGACATCAAGACATATGTTACAAAGTTCCAATGGGAAGGTGCCAAATATCCGCTCAAGCAGTCTCTTAAAGTGCTTAGTGAAATAATTGGAAAGGTAAAAAGAATTTGATTTGAGTGCCATTTATCTACATAAATCGTCGGCTTGATGTGGTAAATCCATTGATTAATCTCTTTATTGATTTAGCAAGTGACGCAAATTGATAACGACTTGAAGCAGAAATCCATAGCGTACAACAATTTGAAGAACAGTTTGACTTCGATAGATAGGAAGACAACGTAAGTGCTCCAAAATTTTTTATTCGCCATACGGGACATAAAAGTCGATATGAATATTCATAGTACGCATATTTGGTAATTTTGATGAAAGTGATATCGGGAAATGTGTCCACGCAAGCAATCACAGAGGCGATAAAAAGACGGGACGACGTCACCAAGACGCGTCACGCATCTTTTGATCTAAACTGGAATTTCCCCAAATAGTTTTTGTGCATTTATTTAATCAACTAAATGCTTTCTACTTATCTGTACCCGTTAGTTGAGGTAGTTTTACGATGTCCGAGGCATTAGCTGATGTCGAGGTAGTCATTCATTAGAATGTCGAAGTCTTGATTCGCCATCAATAATGAGGAATAGCAAAGCCCCTCCGAGTCTCCAGGGAGTGCTTATTGACCAGTATCGCGAGTTGGTTGAGTTAGCAAAAAGCTTGGATTGGGCTCGCAGGAAAAAAATCTCTTTGGTTTCCCAGTACATTCTGCTATCACGAACTAGTTCGCCTCCCAAATTCAATATTGTGAAGCATGATGAAGGCAATATTTATTTCACCGTTGACTTCTGAAGGAAGACCAATCGAAATTCTTTGCGAACTGCCGTTAACAAACATCTTAGGGCGGCCACCACGGAATGCCTATGAGCGTAAGCGGCTCAAGCTATTACCGACACTACACCACATCGTAGTTAAAGGTGTTAATCGCAGGTTATGAAGTTTTATAGCACAAAATACCTTTTCGAGCTAGGTTGGTATCTAAGTTGCTGGGGTTCAAGAAAGACTTTACCGAAGCGGTTTACCAGCTCTTAAGGTTCAATGAGCTCAATGACTTACTCGTTAGCGAGGCTTTGAAGACGATGAGTATATTGAGCACCTTTAAACGTTGTGTTTTCTGGTGTTTGGAGAGGGCTTTGAAACAGAGCGAGTCAATCCAGAATCTATGACAATTTTGATGCCGAATAATTATATAATACGGTGGATTTATCAAAACAAGACTCAGTTTCAACGCAGATATCGGCAACTTTGTACGTTTTTTAACTAGCTTTCAAAGAACATAATTATAATGACCATTTGTGCCTTCTATACTTAACTGTTTTTATACAGCAAATTTACCTCCTTGTCATAATTTTTGCTCTCTTTATGTCATGGTTTTAGGTTTGTCAGGCTGTAATTACAGCTGGACGATTGTTCTAACTTATTTGACTTTTTCCAGAGGATCCTTGCTCACGAAAGATCTTGCTGATGTTGTCAAAGCCGAAGATTTCGTTCTCAACTCAGAGTATCTGCAAACGTTACTGGTTGTGGTGCCTAAGTATGTTGCCCTTGTTTTGTTCACGCTTCCCTTTTTCGTTCTACTGGCCTCTTTTCGATTTTCTCGGGAATCTGCAATCTCTGAATAATCGCTGTTGTCAGGATAAGTGTGAAGGACTGGCTGCAGCGGTATTCGACGTTCACGTCGATGGTTGTGCCAGGATCAACGCAACTCATCACTGAAGAAGGCGAACATGCTCTTTATTCCGTCACCCTTTTCAAAAAAGTCATTGATGAATTCAAGAACATTGCTAGGGAAAACAAGTAAGTGGATGATGTTGAGATTCGTTGGCATCCAAAAATCTTAGAAATTTAGGTTTATCGTCCGTGATTTCGTGTACGATGAAGAGTCGATGAAAGCAGGGAAGAGTGAGCGTGACAAATTGGTAGCTGAGAAGCAGAGGCAGTATGCTCCTCTGATAAGGTGGGCATCTAGAATTTTCGCTTCCTTTATCTTTACCGAGATTCGAATATTTTAAAAGCGTGTAACGTTCAGATGGCTGAAAATCAACTTTGGTGAGATCTTCGCTGCATACATCCACGTTAAAGCCTTGCGAGTGTTTGTGGAGTCCGTTTTACGGTAGGTCCTTTGAAAATTCTTTATCTCTGCCCAGAAAGTTGCCAAATTTTTGTCAAATCCTCTACATTAGTACATAGTCAGATTTCGAAATATTCGATTATCAAGATTTTTTTATTTTGGACTAGTTACTTAGCTTGGATTGGCACTAGGGTTTCATGTAATTACTAGTATCATGGGCTAATTTGCAGGTATGGGTTACCTGTCAATTTCCAAGCAGCCCTCGTTGAACCAACCAAGGGATCTCAAAAGAAGCTCCGCGCTGAACTTCACAAGTTATATATTCATCTAGACGGATCAGCAGCTGGACCAATCGATGTGAGTTTATGATTCAGAATATTTGGGCATTCTTTCTACATTTACATCCGTTGTATACTTGCTGATAACGCAGCTCTAACCAGAAAGACGTTTCGTTGACATATTCTGAATTGTCGAATTTTTTAGTGTACACTGACTTGGCATCTTATCGCTATCTTAAGCTAAGCACCTAAGTCGTTTTTTGAGATCGAGCAATGTGGTACTATCTTGAGTTAGCAAGAAATAATCTTTTTATGCTACTTCGTCGGAAGTATTCGGTTAGGTTTCATATATTGCTCGAAAGGATTTGCAGGTTTTCTTTTGAGTTTGACAGATGATTGATATGTCTAAACTAAAAGGCTCGAAAATTTTATAAAGCCGGAAACGCCCGAGAAATGAGTCATACTATCCATATCGGTCATATGCAGTCATTTGAGTTGTGATGTGAGAGATGAGTTATTTGGTAGGCCAGCTTGTTCGACATTGGGGTTATAGTGGCCATCAGATAGATAGAGCCCATCTGTGTAGGGTACAAGTGCACAATGTAACAAATAATTGGGCGAAAAGGTGACGCACTGCACACTGCTCACCCTGATTTTGTTTTTCGTAATTTATGAGCTTAATCTTTCATACGGGTGTTAGATGAAATTCATAGTCGATCCTTGCTTTCCTCCAACTTCTTGAATCAAAAAATCATTAACAGCTATCCCACGGTGTTGATTTGAGGACGAAATGTCCGCTATGTGACGAACGGAACACGATATTGGTCTTCCTGGCCCACTGCTAGCTGAGATTCTTTCCGCTTTCTTTTATCCAATGCATTCTCCTCCGCAAGTTTCTTCCCGTCTGCAGTTTCTTTTCGTCAGTGATGGCTAAACTTTTCCCCATAGTTCAGCACCGTTGTGTTGGCGCCAGTATCGTGAAGTGCGACAATAATTAGCAGCAACAAACCTAATCGAATTAAGACGTTTCGGAGTTCTTACTTCTTTTGTTTTCCACAATTTTGCCCATTGATCTACCGATTTTCAGACGTTGGAAGATTCGCCGGCGTTGATGTCACTGGGAGTAAACGAGTACTATCCCTACGTATTCTTCAAAGTAAATCTAGATTTTGTAGAAAGGAAATAGATTAGACTAATGTAACTCTATGCTTTTGACAAAAAAAAGCACCAGTGATTGTGATATGCCCATTACTTACCGTAACTTGACCGTGCTCGAATATTGTAAAGTGTCACCTAATTAATATTTGTAATCAGTAAATTTCACAGTAATAACGGCGAATAAGTAGTCTCTTTGCTTTTACCAGCTTGACTAATTGATAGGTTCGTTTATTCATTTTTAGTTAGCACTTTTGAAATAGAAAGTGAGCCAGCGAGGTAAAGAGTATCGGCTGGTTTTAGAGAGGTGGCACAAGGAGCAGTGAACCGTATGCATGTTTAATTTGTCGATTTAACACATTCCACTAGAAGTGATTTTAAAGTAGTGTTAGTGTGTGAGATTCGATGTGCTTATTCGATGACGAAAAGATTTTGTTAGAACTCTTTAATTGTCTGTCTGTGAATGCAAATATTTGTCTTTAAATGAAATTTATACGAAAATTGTATATGTGTATAAATGTAGTATAATTTATCGTGATGATTGAGTAGTCTGCAACCCGTCCATCTGTTCAAGCGCCTTTAATGGCCATTGGAATTTAGCGCTGAATATGGTATGTATAGCTGAAACAGGGTGAAAATCCAATGAAGCTGCGATCAGTTAAAAAAGGCTTCGTGGCTTAGACATTTAACACTGTAGTAACTACGGTGTATAGAGTTGGTAATGGTAATGTGCCAGAATAAAAGTAGAAAATACGGTATGCAGGTAGAGGAATTAGGGAAAGAGGGAGTATTTCGCTGCTATTTCGATCCCAGCTACTGTTAGATAGTTGTCCGCACCTTTCGGTCCACATTTTGGAAGCGATTCCTCTTGTCACCAGGACAGTGCCTCAGATAGGGTGCAGACGAGAAGCTAACCACCGCAGGCGATCAACGCGCTATGCGTAACGCCTTGTACCAAACTGGTGCTACAAGCAAGTGGGATTTCAGCTTCTCCCACCTGATTCGTTCTTCAAAACAATGGGTTTTCTGTCAATTAAACTATGGCCCATGCAATTTACAATTCGAAATCTGTTCGCTAAAACATCGATTGTAACCTTTCCTTCCATATCCCTTCAATTACATGCCTGCTAGAGGTGTAATTCCCAAATCCTTTAGACAAACTGATTACAAAAAAGGTCAAAAGTTGCAACTCAACAGGTTTGATAGAGGACTTTTCTGGAAAACATAGAAATAATGTTTAGTTGCTGTTAGTGGCGATGATGGATGTTTGGTGCGCATTTACAGCTGGAGGGTTTCTATGGTGACGTAGGTTCGACGGCCTTGCAGCCACGCTATGTTCTACATGTTTAATGCTCATTTGATTAGCTTTTTAATTTTACCCTATTGTATAAAGTAATTAGCTATGATTACTTTTCCTGAAGCATCCAATATACTCTCCTGTACTAGTAGTTTTTTTCCAGTTCGAGCATAGATGATTTTGGGTCTCACCACTCTTTTCTATTTGCTCCTCTAATTTAACGGAGTACAGTGTCTAAGCTCCTTACAACATAAATAGTGTTCGACCTCCAGAAGCCCTTTAGCGCACGTGCCACTCTTCCTGCTGTGTGAGTGAGTGATGGAGAGAGCTCGGGGGAATTCAGAGCTACTAAGGCTTATGAACAAATGTTTTTTCAACAGAGTTTCATCTGAAGTTTCGGAACTGACGCCAAGTTGTCTGTAAAACTTGCTTTGTCCGAGCTTTCAATTCGCTTCCAAAGAAAAGCGATTTGAAAACTTTGGCTGAGAACTGAAAACTTGTTGGTTTTAGTGTATCTTCGCGCTCTGACGCTGTTCTGGTGGAAGCGGGCGAGCAGTTTCAGCAGTGGAAAGACCCGATTCTATAGAGCAGGGGTATGGGTATGAGGTGGAATAAGCCCATTTAACTCATTGGGAAGAGCAGTCGTCTGGTGTGTGCAATCTTATATTTCAGCTCAGCAATCGCTTAATATTCTGCTTTAATATTGTTAAAGGTATGCAAGTAATGCTTGTAAGAATTCAACAATGAGCAGTTGATGGGGTTTTTAGTTGATGTCCTTGTTAACTTGTTATTTCGCCGCAGTAAATCATCCGAATGTCTTACTAGTTTGGCGAGTGATGAACAAAACTTTAGCGTCGGACAGGACTCGAACACTTACTTGTGCTATCCAGGCACTCTGCTCTTTTTCCCTTACACTATTGAGACCCTGCTTGCCCTCGCTGCTTAGTGGCTTTCGAGCCAACGCTGATCAGCGCTGACGTACAACTTAATAAGCCGGTCAGCCACTGTCGGTACCGAACCGTTAAGGAATCTGTTTCTGTTGTCAAAGTTATCCAATCTCGCCATACATTCTGAGCTTCTCGATATTCCCAGCAGAGCCATTTATAGAAGTTTGATGCCGAAGAACTAACACCGGGAAGGTGAATAGTCAAGGCCTGATTTCCAAACTATATTTAGTGGCGGCTGCATTTGTTCTTACTCTTCTCATTTTTCCTCAATATATATTTGTTCCACTTGTCACCTTCTTTTGATCAGCGTCAACGTAAAGCACACGATAATATTATGTCGGAATTTCCGTTAAGTCTCCCTTCTCTTATTGATCTCACTACTTCTTTAGAAAACAAGATTAACTAGTGAATAAAGCTATCGGTTCAATTCTGGAGGAAACTGGTATTCTTTCTGCTCTGGAATGGCCGAAGTGTACGTTAGCGGGCAGATAGAGTCCGCTGATGGCTTTGGTGACAATCGGCTCTGTTGTAGATGGACGCTGCAAACAGGTGAGATCGGTTCCACACTGCTGACATGGGGACATAGATTTCCTAAGAAACCGCTGAGGTATGAGAGAAGTCACATAGCTTCCTTAGCACCAAACTTCTACCAATGTCTAAAAACTTTTCAACAAAATGTGCGGATGTACATGAAAACCAGCTAAACCATGAAAACCAGCTAACCCAAGTAAAACTACACGAACATTTCAACCGTATTCCAAATACGTAATCTGAATCAGAGAAGTTATTCTAGGCCGATTGACTCACCTCTTACTATTTCAAGGAGAAATGTTCAGTTACTAGTTTATTTATCTACTCATTGTAGGCGGTGGATGGCGAGTGGTTGAGGGTGCTGTTGAGGGACAGACACAAACAGATCTACCATCGGTGTTCGATG